GTACCTGCGGCACTTCCAAAATATCTGTATGTATGTGCACACCATTTCACTTCGGACTGTTCTATCAACGAGGGACAGTTCAACGCTGGATTTGCTAGATGTCTGAAGATAAAGAATGGATCCGTACCAACTGTCCGTGATCCTAATACAAATGTGGCATCTGTAAGTATGAATGTTTTATTTTGACTTACTGTTTAGCCTAAATTCCCCCCGGTGCCTCAGCACGGCCACCATGCTTTGATAATCCATCGGATCCGCGCCGGTTTACTGGATCCTTCCATATTTTAGCCGCTCGCTTCTTCCCCGACAACTCCGGCGGCGGGGGACAAAATCCCCCTCCAGAGCAGCATGTAGCTTTAGCATTGACCCGTGCGGCGACGCGCCTCTTTTGGCTCAAATACGGGACGTCCCGGCTAATGGATGGTCGGCCATTCTACATTCATATCTTACTCCTTAAGCGTGACCCTCCTGGCGGCTTTGAATAATACATCAGAATCTGGCTCAAAACTGGTAGGGTTGTACGATCGATCTTCTTGCAGTCATGACCGAGCCAGTGTAAACATTAGCACATGACTATCGGAGCACAGCCACAGCCCCTTCCAGAGAGATGGGTGTAAAGTGGACGTGGCTTAGGTGCAGCTCAATTCATTAAAGAGACATGGCCCAAAACTGAGGATTTTGAGCGGAGCTGTTTTTAGCTGATAAAAAGAGCACTAAAATAATTGATCCAAATCAATTTTGACCAAAGGACATCACAGACATGCTTTTAACACACCATGGGACTTTTTTAAGTTGTGTGAAATTGGCATGCCATGGAACCTTTAAGCTCAATAACACTCATACTCATTACACCTGTCTTGTGTTTGCATTTAAGGCTTACACAAGAACCTTGCAAACGATGGATAAATGAAACTGAGCCCTTTTTTTTTTTGCTTTATTTTAGCATGTTTCTTATGCTGATAAGTATGCACTGCACAAAATATTTGTACCAAAATATAATCAAACTTTCCCACAGATTTAATGAGAAAAAGATTAAAAAATAAAACCAGGCATGCAATATTAACAACAGAGACAAGGTATACCAAACCATTTAAGGGTTAGCCTAAGGCATTTTGTGCACTCCAATAAACAAATGGGTAGCGACTATGACGCAAGAATCAGTTGCAGGAGAGTCCTGAAGATTCAAGCCAAAAACAACTCAAGTTGTTTGGAGGCAATGGATGCATTTAAGACTTAGATATATTTAATTCTTTGGATACATGACTCCTCCAAATATATGTTGAGTAGAGCGCTGAAGCAAGAGAGAGGGAAGGGTTGTGTGACCTGTGGTTTGGATCTTGTCTGTAAAATAAAGCTTCAACCTGTTCTTTAACTTCTCCTTGTGTCTCTACTGCAGAACACAATTCAATCTTTCTTACACCAGGAACAATTTATCCTGCCCCACTGACTTTGAGTTGTTTGTTCATCATTTTTCAAACCACAGAAATGCCCAAATCTTCTTGTGTGGTGGTACGCACTGTTAACAGAGTCTAGAACCCCAAGCACAGTATTTATCAGCATCCTCAGGGATTAAAGCATTTTAGAGGATTAAAGTGGATACAGCCAAGCAGAATCAGCAAGACGAATGGGTGAACTGAGAGATCCTTGTACTTAGCTTTTGGCTGGACAAACACAACATGTTGAAGCTAAGTAGTAAAAGGCACAGTTTTAATCTTTGGTAAAATTATTTTGATTCCATCACATGGCAGTATGAATTAAAGTTTTATCTGTGTTATCACATGGGATCATTTTTCCTGCAAATGCACATAGGAAAAACAGAACTGGAACAAAACTACTGAGTATGTTGATACTTTTTCAGTAGACAGTAAGCACTAAAATACTCCCTGACATACTAATGTTATATTAATACATTTTTTGCTGGGTGCTAGATTTTTATCTTTTTGCCAATGGCAACATATTGTTTACCAATTTTCCCTCTGCCAGGTATGTTGGCAGTATGTGTTTACCTGGCTCATTTAATGCTCTATGTTAGGTATACGTAGGCATTAAGATAACAGGATAAGAAGAACTTTATTTATCACCAAAGGGAAATTAAATTGTCTGTAGTCTCATGTCATCTACTATTTTTAGAAGAACTGTAAAGTCTGATGGCTGTGGGTACAAAAGATCTTCTGAATCTTTCTGTCCTGCAGCTATAGAGAGGAGCCGTCCACCGACATTGGCCCTTTGGTCCTTTAAGGTGTTATGAAGTGGGTGATCCATGTTCTTTAGAATAAACTCTACCTTCCTCAGTGAAGATCTCTCCACCACATCCTCAGGAGAGTCCAAATTGAATCCAACCACCGAGCCAGCCTTTTTCACCCGTTTGTTAAGAAGTCTTGCATCTTTGTGTTTGATGCTTCCTCCCCAGCAGACTGCAGTGTAGAACAGAAGACTGTAGACACCACAGACTGATAAAACATCTGCAGCATCTTACTACAGATGTCTATTGATCGGAATCTTCTCAGGCAAAAGAGGCGGCTCTGCCCCTTTTTGTAGATAAAGTCTATGTTCTTAGACCAGTCCAACTTATTATCCAGATGTACACCTTGGTATTTATATGATGTCACCTCTTCCATGTCCATGCCACAGGTGTTCACTGGCTGAAGAGGGGAATTTGGATCTGCGGAAGTCTATGACCATCTCCTTTGTCTTTAAAGTGTTGAGGAGGAGGCACTTTTGTGACTCCAGTCACTGAAGGCTCTTATCAGATCCCTGTTTTCAGCTTTTTGTCCATTTCTGATACATGCCTCAATAGCAGTGTCATCTGAGTATTTCTGGATGTGGCAGGACTCAATGCTGTATTTGAAATCTGACATATACAGTGTGAACAGAAATGATGCCAGGACTATCCCTCGTGGAGCCCCTGTACTGCTCATTAATGTCCCAGAAACACAGTTCTCCAGCCTGACAAACTGTGGACTACCTAGGACTGGGCGATTTGGTAAAAAAAATGATCCCAATATATTTTGTCTTATCAACTGAATTAAATTATTATCACGATTTCCTTTCTTTTAACCTGCCAGTTTTAAAGCATCTGTGTTAAAAACTAAAGAAACTAGAGATTAGTTAAACATTTTATTAAAATACAAAGCAAATAACAAAGCAAATTGAAAGAGATAAAATTACGGAAATATGAAAAACATTTTTACTGAACAATACAACAAATGTAGATAAATATTGAATGATACAGTGAACTAATTTACAGTCCTGAGTGTTTTTGTAGGTATGCAAGACCCACAATACAATAAAAAATTGCCCCCTCACAGATAATGAAGACGCCTTAAAATGTAAACATTAGATGATGTAAACATTGATTGATTGCTGCTTTGGTCTGGTGGCTGCACCGCTAGTTGTAGCTAAACTGCTAATGGTACTAGTGTCATCAGCAGTGGCAGGCTGTGAAGACTCTGCTCCCATTTTCATGCTTTCTGCATTATCATTTGGGGAGTACTTCTTCAAATAATTAAACAGATTTGTTGTGTTGCCGGTTTTTGAGGGCATGGACCGTCAACACAGAAACTTTTCTTCTCAACAATGGTAATTTTGGAGGATGACTTGAAGTCATGGCTGACATCTGTTTTGCTGCCCTCAGCTCCACGTTTAGCTCCACATTTGGTCATTCTGTTTACTTCTCCGACAACTTACAGAAGTAGAGCTGGAAAAGCTTGACTCTGATCGGCTGTAGTCACGCACAATTCCGCTATGTTTGATCAAGTAAATATGCTCACAGCCATAGACTGTATATAGAATGGACAGCGTCTGCTTCCTGGGTGATGGGTCATAAAATCCGCCTCCGCCAGCAAAGCTTGGGGCTGTGGACAAACTTTAGAAATTAATTACACATTTTTCTCCCCCCTGCTTGTGATGTTGACATGTAGTTACTGTAAGACTGTTTTTTGCTTAAGTCCTCTTTTTTCTGTACAGCTCAGTTTTTAAAAGTTGCTAGCGGGTTCAAGTTTTCTATGATTGACACCTGATACAGCCTATGGGCGTACAAGGATTGCCTAGCTTACCCGGAGGATATGCTGTTTGAGCCGAGCGTCATCACAGGGACTCTCAGTGACTTTCCTGCCAAATGTGTACAATGCTACTGCGCATGTGGTGGAGTGCGTACAATGCCACTGCACAATGTTGGTTTCAGGAAATGAAGAAAAAACACGGAGGTACTGAGGGCTTTTTGGCTTCAAATCCGGATACTGGTGAAGGCAGAACCAAGTTGTCCACAGTATATACAGTCTATGCTCACAGCTGATCACTGTGATCAAACTGAAATTTATCACAATCATTAATCACAATCATACAATCGCCCAGTCGTAGGCCTTTCTGTCAAGTAACCTGTGATCCAAGCAACACAGGAAAGATCCACTCCTATCTCTGTCAGCTTGTCTTTGAGTATGGTAGGTTGGATGGTGTTGAATGCACTTGAAAAGTCAAAGAACATGATCCTCACATAAACCCCAGGTTCCTCCAGATGAGACAGGGCAAGGTGAAGCATGTAGAGGACACCATCCACTTCAATGTGTTCTTGTATGAAAACTGCAGGGAATCCAGTTTGTCTTTGACCTCAGACCTAAGAAGGTGTAGAAGCAGCTCCAGGGTTTTCGTGATGTGTGAAGTGAGGGCCACTGGTCTGTAGGTCTGTCTGGTCATTGAGTTCAGCAGGACATTTTGTTTTTGGCACTGGCACAATGCAGGATGTTTTCCATAGAGCAGGTACCCGCCCCAGCTGTAGACTCAGGTTGAAGATCATGTGGAGAAGTTGACACAGTTCTGCAGCACAATCTCTAAGCAGCCTTGGACACACACCATCTGGTCCCACTTCCAAGATCCAACCTCACCCCTGTTTCTGTGACAGACAAGACATCCGTGAAGTGTGGAGAGTGTAATGTAAAAATGAGAAAACTCACTACAATCTTACATTTAGAAATGGTTTACCTCATTTTATGTCTATGAAACTGTTACATGCCCTGGGTGTTTGTGTCCTGTTTTCTGTGCTTGTGTGCTGTTTTCTCTGTCTCTCTCTCCCTGCAGGTTTCTCCACTGCAGTAGAGGTGTGGCTGATCTGCTGATGAGCAGCAGACTATAGCTGCGTTTCCATTACATTTTTTCGCAAAATTAAAGCGATGTTTATCAAATTTCGACAAAGTACAATTGCGATTTGCGGGTGTTTCCATTGAATGGTGTTCAGTGTATAAGCGAGCCGTCTGCCTCTCGTGAGCCGTGTTTGAATGGCCGTGTTCCTTAAGCCTTTTTGCACACCAACATGGAGGAGTTACATTTCTCTTTTATTATTTGTAGAAATAACTCCGTCTCCTCCTCCGTCCACACATACCGCACCATCTTTGCTTGAAATGAACTGGTCACATGACCCGCTACGTCACGTCCAGTGATGTAGAATTGCGAGAATAGTGTTTCCATTACACTTTTGCGATATACTTCGATATCGACACGTCTGAAAAACCACCTCATGAGAACGTAAAAACTTTTAGCAATATTTGAGAGGTTTTTCGAAATGTAGGTGTTTCCATTACCAGTTTTCTATTGCGATATTTAGGTTTTGCGCAAATCTATGGGTAATGGAAACCCAACTTATATTAAGTAAGCGAGTACTGTGGTCTCTCTCTCTCCCATTCCTTCCTCTGGCAGTGATCCTGTGTGGACCTGGTTCAAAGAGTGTGTGACTCTGGTGTGGTTCAGTATTGGCTGGACTAAGCAGGCCTCCAGTGGCAGTGGAGCCTGCAGTGCTTTTGCTGTTTACCTTTTGTTACCTTAGCCTCCCATTTTGTTGTATTTGGTGTTTTTCTCGGCCTAGTGCTTGTTTTACGTTTGTTATGTAACCTCAAAGAATAAACTTTTCTGTTTTATAAATTACCTTGGACACCATTACTTAACATTGGTTCTTTTTTAAACTGTTGTTGCTACCTTCATCCCCTTTTCACATCTTTTGGTTCGCTGGGCTGTATCATGTTCCTTTTACCTTGGTTACAAGTGTAAGTAATGATGTCTGCATGCCAAGTTAGCTTACCTTTACTGTGTATTAACAGCTTCCTCAGGTGAGTTAGGGGAGTGTCTTGCTGGGCTGTATCAGCCTTTCTAACAGGCGCTCATTTATTGTTTTGCCTTTTTTATTTTCAGAGTAATCCTGGGTGGAGATTTAAATCTCCAAAGGGGGCTGGCATTTCAGAGTTTCAACCGCTGATGTGTTGCCTGTAAGTCGCCTCGAGCCTGGCATGCTCCAGAAGATAGGTAGGTAGAGTTCAATTAGGCAGGTTCTGAGGGGGTTTGTTTTTGGTAAGGTTAGATTGTGCTCAGTTTGTTTGGTGTGGCATTTGACATTAATCTTACGTGTTGACACCGGTGTTTGTGATTCGATAGTAGTAGCTTTAGTTTACCTTGCTAAGTGTTGGCTGGACTTCCTGTTTTTCCCTGTTTGCCTGGTCTGGCTGTACTCTTTTCCAGAGCTTCCTCCCCTCCCCCGGCGCTGAGGCTGAGTGAGACGACATACCTGCTCCTCATCTCCAATCAAGGGACTTTAAGAAGCCTGCAGCCCTCAGTCTCAGCGCCTGAGTATTGTCTACCCTTCCTAGCGGTACAGACGCATCTCCTGGCCTTCGTCGTTGGTATAACGTTCTGAACTTTACTCCTTGTGCCTCTTTGCATGTCCTTTAACTCCTGTCTCCTCTGTTTTCTCCTGCAGTGTCTCCAGCCCACACGACAGCCAGCCAACCAACCGGACTTCCTTTGTTTCCTTATCTATCCCTTTCTGTTTTTGGACATTAAATTCGTTTTACGTTGAGCTCTGTCTCAGTGTCTGCTTCTGGGTCCTCACTACAAGCCTGCCTCACAACACGGTGTTTGTGATTCGATAGTAGTAGCTTTAGTTTACCTTGCTAAGTGTTGCTAGGCTATTTTTGGTTGTGCTGCATTTCTTGTTTTTTCTCTTTTACAATGGCAGCTTTTGATGTGACTTTGTTTGTATCAAATCCAATGCTGACACAGTTTGATAAATGTTAAAGGAGTGATCTGCGTGAAATTGCAGAGTATTATTGTATTCCTGTGTCCAGTTCTCTTGTTAAAGCTGAGATGAAAGCTGTTCTTTTGGAGGGCTTAATGAATAAAGGCATCTTTAGTTTACCTGTATCAAGTGACACAGGGTTAGCAGGTGTGTTCTCTGCCGAGGAATGCTCTGATCCTCCAGTGGAGAAGGCGAGTGAGCCTCCTGTTGGTTTGACTCCTGTTGTACAAAGTGGTAAGGTTGAGGAAAAGCCGTTAACTTCGCCACAGTTTGTTCCTTTCTCAGCTGAGTCAACACCTGGCTCTGAGCTTGATGCCTAGTTGAAGGTACAGTTAGCTCGCATTCAAATGGAGAAAGAGGATCGGGATCAGGAGTTTCAGCTCTGTAGAGAGCTCAAAGTTAAAAAGCTGGAAGCAGAAACTGCGATTTAATTGCATCAGTTAGAATTGCAGGCTGGTTCAGTGCATTCTGTTGCCAGTACTGCACCCTCATCTGGTTCTGCTACTGCGTTTAATGTGAGAAGGCACAATTCTTTGGTTCCTGTTTTTCGTGAGTCTGAGGTAGAATCCAACTTTGGCGCATTTGAGCATATTGCTGCTGCTTTGCATTGGCCTAATGATGTGTGGTCTATCCTGTTGCAGTATAAATTAACAGGTAAGGTTCTTGTTTGAGGCTTGTTCTTGTTTGTCAGAGCAGGATGGTTTAAATTATGATAAGGTGAAGAGTGCTATCCTGCGCACTTATGAGCTGGTGCCAGAGGCATACAGACAGCGCTGTCACAGTCTTAGGAAACCATCAAATCAAACTTACATTGACTTTGCCAGAGAGAAGGGATTCTGTTTGACCTATGGTGTGCAGCATGCAAGACTGCTGATTTTAACTCACTGCGCGAGTTGATGTTGGTAAAGGAGTTTAAAAACTGTGTAAACAACCGTTTTGCTGTTTATTTAAATGAACAGAAAGTTTCCACTCTGCAGCAAGCTGTAATCCTCGCTGATGAGTTCAGACTCATACACAAAAACCTGTTTGTCGCTCGTGAATCCTCTCCCTGTGACTCTCATGAGAGCACTGATGCAAATGTGTGTACATCTGCTGCATTGGGTCCAAAGGGAAGAAGGCCTTGTTTCTCCTGTCATAAGTTTGACCATTTGATTGCTGAATGCGCAGCGTGGAAGCATAAGCAACAAGGGTCAGTTTCAAAACAGCCAAAGGGGGTGGGGTTGATTAAATCTTCTTCAAGTGTCCAGCTTCCTTTTCTTAAAGAGCCAGATGACTGTTTCAAACCTTTTATTTTTGATGGGCTGGTTTCTCTGACAGGGAAAGCTGTGTTGCGGCATGCTCACAGTCTCTGATCCTATCTGGTGTCATGTCGTTGGGTGAACATTCAGCCTGTGATGTGAGTGCAGTGGTAAGGGGCATTGAAATGGGGTTTCTGCCTGCACCTCTCCACCACATACATATGCAATCTTCTTTAGCCACTGGGTTTTTTGATGTAGGTGTCCGTTCATGTTTTCCTATTGATGGCGTAGACTTAATCATGGGAAATGATATAGCTAGTGGAAAAGTCTACCCTGTTCCTGAAGTCGTGAATGTTCCAATTCCAGACTCTGTACATGACAGCTTAGTCCAGAATCACCCTGAAGTCTTTACTGTAAGTGTGTTGACCAGATCTCAGGCCTGTAAGCAGGCCAAGGATGTTGACTTGTCTGATACCTTGTTTGCATCTGCTGTGGCAGGGGATAATCTGTCCTCACCAGTAAACTGCACCGTAGGGCTGAAAAAGGTGTAAGAGTCTGTTGCGGCACCAGTTCCTCTCCCTTTAACTCGAGAATCACTCATTTCTGCTCAGAAAAATGATCTTTCCCTGGTTAAGTGTATTAGCGCTGCTTCTCAGAACTCTAGTGGGTGCAAAAAGGGGCAGTCGTTCTTTTTTGATAAGGGTTTGTTGATGCGCAGGTGGGCCTCTCAGCCAGTGAGTACTGGAGATGGTTCAGGTGAGGATTGGGGTACAGTGTACCAGATAGTTGTGCCAATTAGTTGTCGACAACATGTGTTCGAATTAAAATTCAAGCACCATTGGTCTGGACATTTGGGAATGACAAAGACTTATGACGGTGTTCTACAACATTTCTTCTGGCCAGGACTGAAAAGTGATGTGTCGTAGTTCTGGTGTGCCTTTTGTATTGTTTGTCATTCGGGATGCCAGGCAGGAGTCTTTGGGGTTCAGCCCAGCTGAAATTGTCTTCGACCACAATGTGCGTAGCCCCTTGAAAGTGTTGCAAGAGAAATTTGTGTCTAGTGTATCTCCTCAACTTAATGTGTCTGATTTTGTATTCACCGTGCTGCCTTGCTTTGTGTGGACACAGTATGGGGAAATTTAATTTTTTTGCTGCCAAGTCTCTCCTCTGTGGTGCCCTTGTGCTGGTTGCACCAAACTTCTCAGTGCTTTTCAAGCTTGAGGTTGATGTCAATGCCAATGGAGCGGGTGCTGTGTTCTTACAGGATGCAGATGTACAACCACAATCAGTGGTTGATGAGCTGGGCCCTCCTGGTCCAGGAGTGCAGCCTTGCCATCCAGTGTGGAGAGGGTGGCTGACAACATAGTGGCTGATGCACTATCCTGTGGGTGAGAAAACATTCAGAACGTGCCTTCATTGTATTCCTGCCTGTATGAATAATATGTACGTATGTATAGTGGTGGATCCTTGTTACCTTGTTGTTCATGGGGGGGGGGGGATTTACATGCCCTGGGTGTTTGTGTGCTGTTTTCTGTGCTTGTGTGCTCTTTCCTCTGTCTCTCTCTCCCTGCAGGTTTCTCCACTGCATTAGAGGTGTGGCAGGTGTGGCTGATCTGCTGATGAGCTGCATACTATGCCTGTGTCTCATTTCAGAGACCGCACTGTCGAATGGCGCATTTCAAGTGTGCGTGATGTCATCATGTGGTGCGAACGGTGTCCCATTTGGCTGGTAATTCTGAGCACGCTTCAAATGCGGTCCCAGAACCACACTAGCCCCGCCCCTTTTTCAAGCGTGCATGCATGCTTTCATGGCCTTGGTATCCCAGAATTCTTTGTGTGCCGCTGCACAGCTGCACATTTCAGGTGAGAGGCTGGACTTGCTTGGAGACACACCTTGTCTTCAAAGAAAATAAAAGAAATCCAAAACCACAAGACAGTCAGCTCAGGCTGCATGAACGCATGATCTCTGAACTCACTAAAATCTGCAGCTGCAAACCGAAAATGATACTCTTTAAAAAAGTACTGATCTGCTCTGCTACCACAATCAAAAACATTAGAATAAGAAAGCTGACAAAACTACAGCAGAGTATCAAGACCACATTGAGATTTTTTTTTTTAACCTCCTAAGACCCGGACCCTTGCAAGGCATGCATTTTTATTTTCTCTTTGGTATTTAGGCTAATTGGGACCTGATGAGTGTAAAAACAAAGAATTATCTTTTTACATGATGAAGTTTCTGAGAAAAATGATGTCCACATATGAGGACATTCGTTTGAAATTTTGAGAGAACACAATAACGTCACAATTGAGTAATGATGAGAAAAACTCTTTATTTGTTGCCTGAACACAGCAACATTTTTTCTGTGCCCCTTTGAGCAATATGGCTCATATGAAGTGCTGCTAACAGTTGCAGGAGTACAGATGTCTGTAAAACAAAGTAAACATTTGAAATATTTTTCATTGCTATTGTTCTGGGGCCTCATTTATAAAGCTTGCTTACGCACAAAACCTGGCTTGAAAGTGCTTACGCCACTTCTTACGCAAGAGTTGGGATTTATAAAAAAAAAACTAGTGTAGGAATGTGCGCAACTTTAAGCAAACTCCACACCTTGCTTACGCACTTTTTGGAGACAATCGGAGCAAGGTGAGAACAATTAGTTGATGGAAAGCGCGCGTATAAAAAGCCATACAGTGACAGTCGTGCGCAATGCAGCACAATGGATGCACTTGCGCTACTCGAAGACCACGCCAATGGACGGATCCGGCTGGAGAGGGTGTTCCAAGATCGGGAAGATTTCCTGGCTCATGATGAGGAATGGCTAATAAGCCGTTTTAGACTCCCTAGAGCCTTGCTCCTGGATCTAATTGCTGAATTGAGTCCAATTTTGGAGCACCCAACACACAGGAACTGCGCCATACTGGCACACGTTAAGGTGCTGACAACAATTGGTTTCTTGGCAACGGGCTCGTTCCAGAGGGAATTGTCGGACAGGTATTTATTATGACAGTTATATCACAATATTGGCGTAATTTAAATGTACAGATTCACGAAATATAAATTAATAATAAATTCTGTGCTAACAGGTCTGGGATCTCACAGCCATCCCTCAGTGCCGCACTGCCAGCTGTTTTGGATGGGATCATCCAAATGACCAGTCGCTACATCAGGTTTCCCTACACTGTTGTTGAACAGGCCAACAGCAAAAGGCAATTTGCAGCAATGTCCGGTTTCCCTAATGTAATCAGCGCAATTGACTGCACCCACATTGCTATAAGAGCCCCCAGCAAGAACAAATTTGTTTATGTTAACCGAAAAGGTGTGCACACCATCAATGTTCAAATAATTTGTGACTCTTCAATGGTGCTCACAAATGTAGTGGCACTGTGGCCTGGCTCAACGCACGATTCATTCATTTTGGCAAACAGTGGTGTTGGGAACAGACTGCAGGCAGGTGCTGCTCGTGATGGCTGGCTCCTCGGTAAGTATTACATTAACACCATAGCATTCCCACACAACTTTATTTGCTCTGTCGGGGAAATTCTTCTCTACATTTGACCCATTCTGTTGCTGCCACTGGAACAGCATTACTGAGTGGCGCTCTTGGAATGCAATTGGATCCCGCTTGTTAATTACTCTGGTTATACCTCTCAGGTGACAGCGGCCACCCACTGAGGCGGTGGCTGCTCACACCATTTCCAAACCCGCAGAGCGCAGAGGAAGTGCCCTTTAACATTGTGCACGGCCGTGCACGCTCTGTTGTGGAGCGCGCCATTGGTTTATTGAAGAGTAGGTGGAGGTGCTTAGATGCCTTGGGGGGCAGGCTACTCTACCGCCCCAGAAAGGTCTGTAATATTATACGGACGTGTGTGGTGCTGCACAACTTGGCAGTGAGGAACGCCATCCCCCTCCAACCTGACTTCCTCCCCGCCCCGCCACATGTGGACCCCGACCCACAGCCACCTCCCCGGCATGACGAACATGAGCATGGAGCAAGGCTACGTGAGGAAGTGATGCGGCATGTGTAAAAAGGCAAGTGCAAGTGTGTTTTACTTTTTCAACAACTCTTTTATTGGGTCCGTTGCCGTCGACATTATGTCACACATGTTCTGCAAGACTGTGCGTATTTGTGCCAGTTCCTCCCTCACTTCTCTGATGGCCCCGATCGTGTCCCTCTGTGTCTGCAGGACTGTCTCTGTGAGAACCTGGCCGCCTCCGCGCACTCTGGATCCGCTGGGCGTGCTGGGGAAAGACGGGCCTGCAGCCTGTGTGCCAGACGCGCTGGGACGCACCTCCTCTTCCTCCACCTCCTCTCCCACTGCTTCCAACTGCAAAGTGACTGAGGACACAATGCACATCATTTCTTGCCACGTGTCTGTACAAACATTTGATTCAATAAACGGGTAAAATTGTAACTTACCACTCTCCTCAGTCTTTGCAAAATCTGTGTCCCCCTCCCTCTCCGACACAATGCCACACACACCGGCACTTCCAATAATGGAGGCAATTTTGCAGTGAAGTGGTGTTGGTTCCTCTGTGGTTTGGCCGCCACCTGTGTGTAAAATTTGTAGACTTCTGCTCAGTCAAAAGTTGAAAGGTGCTGGCGACATCACAGAAAAGGAACCTTGCGAGCATGATTCAGAAGTTACTTCTCATTCAACATTTTTATTTCAGGATTAAGCATTTAATTTGAAATGTAACAAATAGTTTCCAGGTTAAATATTTCGACTAAATCTTTTTGGTTTACGAACTTTCACCACATAAGCAGCGGTGGATAACGGAGCAGTTTTTTTTGGAACACATGCATGAGTGTCACACGTGCTTCTGTTTTCTGATCCTCACCTGTTGCCGCCACGCTCCAACGGTGCAAAGCCACTTTTTTCTTTGCCTCAATCTTCAGATCCGACCACTTCTTCTTAATTTCACCAACGCTGCGCTCAGTGCCAGCTACACTAACCGCCACAGCAACGGCGTGCCATTAGGTGGCCTTTCTCTTATTAGTGATGCCACTCGAATGGCCGCCGAATAAGGTGTCCCGTCTCGCCGCCACCATCTACTAGGGCCTCCACCTCCATCTCTGAAAAGTTTCTCTTTCTTCGATTTGCCATGATTAATCGTGAAATGCTGTGGATCCATCAGGCTTATTTGTACGCAAATCACATTCATGAGGTACTTTGCATGACCATACATGGTGAATTTTGGGTGCGGGGAATGAATCAAATCCCTGCTGCGCAACTTTCCGGCTGGTCTGTGATTTATAAAGGGAAAGTGCCTGCAGGTGTGCGTAGGCAGGGTTTTATAAATCAGACTTTTTTTGGGCCTACGCACTTTTCAGCTTTTCGACTTACGTACACTTTTAGTATGGATCCTACGCCAGGTTTTATAAATGAGGCCCCTGAACTGTTCATTTCAATACCTGAACATGGCATGAAACATGAAACATCTCACTTGCACACCGAAAGTGCTTCTCCATTTTTTCCCCTGAGGAAAATGTTTACACCTGTGTGTGAAAGACTGTGTAACAGTTGCGATCTGCCTTGTAAGCAGAGGAACACCTTGCATGTAACACACTGCACTCCACTTTTCCCTGAGCATCCTTTTGCTCTGCATCGTGATGCGTTCTTCGAGTGTACCACTTCTGGCAGATGTGCATTAGCCTTCCTGCGGACTGAGATGTGGGGCACTGCCTGCACTGGACGCTTTTTCCCTGAGACTAAAATGTCTGGGTCATCTTCCTGCTCTGAAAAGTCAGAGCTGTCATTGTCACGCTGAGCCAAGAAGGTCATGGCCACTTCCATACGGAATTCAAGGAACTGCATGATGTTCTTCTTTGGTGTGCCATTCACAGTGAGGTCTTTGCGGTACAGTAGCCAGCTGTTGGCTAAAGCTAGATCCGTAAAGTGCATCAGCAGTCGCAGTGTCCATTTCTTTGTACGGCCACTCATGCGATAGTAACTCATCATTCTATCAACAAGGTCAACTCCACCCATCTTGGAGTTGTATTCACGGATAACACATGGTTGGGAAATGGTCACATATCGTTTCAGTTTCTTGTCCCATCTCTGGCAAGTGTCTTCTGGCTCTTGAGCATGAACAGTAGACATCATCAGCACTGGTTTATTGTCAAACCACTTGACAACACAAATTTTTTCATCCTCAGTGGTAACTTGTGCTGAGGTGCCTCTTCTGTCTTTTTTCATTGTTTTGTCAGTTGGTAACCACTGCACTGCTGCAGCAACTCGATTCTTCATAACTGTACCAGTTACATACATCTGCTTCTTCATCATGTGTTCCACAGCCTGGACTGATGTGAAGAATCAATCACAGTACACCTTTGTATTAGGATGCAGAGTCTGAGACAGACGATTGATCACCAAGCCTCTCAAACCCAGATTCCCTGGTTCTTCAACTTGTTCAAGGAGTCCATCTGCACCTTGATAAATCTCAAAGTCCAGTACTAGCCTCATCCTGCTGTGTCTGAGAGCGACTCCTGGGGGTGCGTGATCTGGCAATGTCACGATCTGACCGATATCCTTCATATTCATCACGGACACGTTTACATCCCCTGATAGGCTGACAGGGCTGTGGAATGGTGTCCTCACACCCACTACTGTCTTCCTCACTGCTGCTTGGTGGAGGTTTATACTCAGCATCTCCCACAGGATCATCAATGTCTGATAAATCTTCCACCTCTGAGTTGTCTCCACCGATTAACCCCAGCATTTCCATTGCTTTTTCCAGAGAATAACTCACTAGAAAAAGAAACATTTTGTTTCAAACCAAAACAAATCTCCATAGATTTATTTATAAAACATGCTATATCTGTTTGTACTGTTTAAAACGAATGTTTTCTAACAAAATTATTCCAAAATACAAATTCGAAACAAACTTCCTCTGTCCACATTTGTGGCCATGTTCAACAAAACCAACAAAAATAAGTTCCTCTGTCCACATATGTGTACATCAAGTTTAGCAGCATATCAACTCATCACATTAGTTTACTTTTGCAAAATTCAACTTCCATAACACACATTGAACACTTCTATACATATCTGAGCAGGAATTAGCCATGAAATTTGTTTGAATTTTTTACCTGGTCGACGTTTGGATTGGGAGTGGCCATCTGAACGTCTGGGTGTGTCGTCGGCCATCTTGAATCTAACATGTGCCTTGTTGTACTCTTCTTCTACCACTAAGTGGCAGTTTGATGTCCTCGTAAGTGGACGCCAGGCCCTTGTAGACCAAAATGTAATATTATGGTCTTGACAACCAAAAATGTGATGCCAGGTCGTAGGAGGTTAAAGACTTAGAAATTATAGTTGTTAACTTGGGAGAATAAAGTTATCAAGTAAATAAAGTCATAAAGCTGCTTTTGTGGAGGGGGAAATGACTGAAGCTGGTCATCTGCAGGGTTATTGGTGGATGTATCAGCTGGTCATTCGGAGAGTTTTTGTGGTTTTTTAAGAAACAATCCAACTGATGATCAACATTTGTGATCCAGAGGGAGTCGAGCTCTGACGAGCACCACGTTTCTGACACCGGTGGTAACCTACACCTGCAGAGACACCAACACATTATTATGGCATATGGATTTATATCATAAACTAAAGCTCAATTTCATTCACGGTTATTTACGGCTGCATTGACGGATTTGTCCTCAGCATATTCATTTCTGCCTCCACAAAAGCAGCGATTTCCTCCAAGTCCTCCTGTTTTTTTTTCTCCCCGTGGAAAAGATGTATTTCTCATATGTTCTTTTTAAGGTCTTTATACTTATGACGATGTAATGCTGATGTGCCAAAGGATGAAGTATCTCCTTGTTTGTGAAATCTATACTGAAGCACAGTTCCTTCGAATGCTCCATGGCCCTAATTTTAACAATTCTCCTTTGAAATAACAGGTAACCTTACGACTTTATTCTCATAAATTAATCACTTTTTTCTCGTAAATTCACAACTTTAATCTCGAAGTGTCAATATGGCCCTCATAGTCCTTCATACAAAACATGCAATCACTAGATGAATTTTGTGGAAATGATCTCTGCTTGTATGTATTTATTGTTTTGTGTCTGTGCAAGGTCGCACGATTAAAAAATAACTGCTGCGTGCCGCAGCTTTTCTTCAAGTCAGTCGTGACGCAAGCCTGAGGGAGGTCCTCCGAAGGGTAGACCGTCCCATTTCACAAAAACCGGACCATCTCACTCAGGGTACTCAAGTCCACATAACGGCAATGTTCTCAGCTAAGCGCGCTTGAGCGCGCTCAGCCCTATGCAGTCTCTGAAATGAGACACAGCCTAAATAAAGGAAGAGAGTACTGTGGACTCTCTCTCCCATTCCCTCCTCTGGCAGCGATCCTGTGTGGACCTGGTTAAAAGAGTGAGTGACTCTGGTGTGGTTCAGTAGTGGCTGGACTGGGCAGGCCTCCAGTGGCAGTGGAGCCTGCAGTGCTTTTGCTGTTTACCTTTTGTTACCTTAGCCTACCATTTTGTTGTATTGGTGTTTTTCTCAGCCTAGTGCTTGTTTTAAATTGGTCGTGTAATCTCCAGGAATATTTTTTTCTGTTTGATTAATTACCCTGGATGCCGTTACTTAACCTTGGTTCTTTTTAAACTATTGTTACTACCTTCATCCCCTTTTCACATCTTTTCATACGTAACAGAAACTATCACATTCATCAAGCATACCTGATCATCTGCCAGTCTATGAGCTTGATGCTCTCCACACAGGTCAGATCCTCCAGTGCCAAAGCACTGGGACCCTGATCTCTTTGTTGATCTCTCCCCTGTTCTCTGCCTCTTCCATGTGAACCAAGGCTATGCTGTCCGGCTTGTGGTGGCCTGCCTCTGGGGCCTATTCCGACTTGCCTCACTGTGCCTGGGGTATATTCATCCTCACAGTCAGGGCTATCTTCCTGAAAAAAGCACCAAAGAGCATTGTATTCTTTTAATTGGCCACAGTCTGCTTTTGTAAGCCAGTATGCAGGAAGCTGCTGTCGCAAACTCTAATGTCGGTACAAAGAGCTAATGCTTACTAGCTCAGCTGGTATACTTGCTGGTAAGCTAGCTGAGCTCTGTTTTCTGTCAGTTTGGCAAATCGTACTTTAAAATAACACAGCATGTGAGTTATATGTAAAGGTAAAAAGTTGACTTTAGTATCAGTGAAAATCTTCTTACCTCAGAATCGTACATGGTCGAAGTCCTCAGGTAGTCTGCAAGAAAATTGCCAGGGAATCGGAATGATACAATCAAGCATGAGCAATTGTTTGTGGGTGGGGCTTGCTGGAGCAGCAAGGGAGGGGAGAAGAGGAGCTGAGGGGAAAACTGGTGGGAAGGGGAAGTGTTTACTGTGACGGCTCCTGTGTGGCTGTGTAAACTGGAGATGTGACATATCTGTCTGTTCTCTTTTGAGGTGCCTTAAGTGGCTGATTGAAATCTGCTCTGATGTGGAGCTCCTGGGCCTGCTGCTCCACCTCCTACATATTAGCTTCCTGTGGCCTGTTCTTGCTCTCTTGCTCTTCCTGCCTGGCTCTGTCTGCCCTGCCGCTCGCCGTTCTGCTCTGCTAGGCTGCCTGCGGACCACCATGCACATTGTCTTTAGTTAGTTTTATTGGTGCACTTCTCAACCCCTCACACCACATTATTCTCACACAACCACATACACATTACTGATATTACACCTCATACCTGTAGTTTTTGTTCGTTTCCTTTATTTCAAATTGTAAATAAATTAATTAACTTTTGTTAATTTGCACTCCTCCCGTCCTTTTGTCATGGCCATAGAGTCGGGTTATGACAAAATGGGGACTCATCCGGCCGTTTTGTTCCCATTCGGTTGCATAAATAAGTAAGTTAGTAGGCTTGTTTAAAGTGTTGTTTGTAACATTTGGATAACTTGTGCAATTTGTGATTTTTTCTATCGGGACTCCGTTTGTTGACACAAAGTTTGTTAATTGGTGTTTTGTGCCGGCGAGAGCACACATGCGTAATTGTTTGGCACACCTGTTTCCTGTTTCCTTTTGTTTTGGTGTTTGGATTCAGGAGGACTAGGAGAAGGGCGCAGCTCATTTTGGCTGGTGATCAGGGTAAGTTAGTTGGTGTAATGTTAAGTTAACACTAAAGTTTATATATGTTTAGTTGTTTACTTACCCAGATGCAGCATTGATCCTGTAGCTTTTGTTTACACTGGCAGCAGGAGTCAGGTATGGAGGTATCCTTGTATGCTTTGTCGTAATGGCGGTGTGGAGTTTTCCCTTGTACGCTGTAGTGGCGTTCCCCTTTTGGGTTCGTCGTGTGGGGCTTTGTAGTGCTGTGACGCATGTGGTTGAAGCATTTGCTTGGGAGCATGTCTGTGGTCTCAGGAGGGTTGCTAGCATGCTAGTCGCTCAAATGGTGCAGTCAACAGTGCATAAGTACCCGCCGCTAGTTGTTGCATGAAGACTAGGGAGGAGTGTAGATAAGGGGGGTTTTGTCCATTAGATAGCGGGATAACTCCATACCAGCTCAGGATGATCCTCTTAGCGCATATGGTGGCTTTCAGGTGCTTGACAGGTCCTGTTCGTGCGTAAATTTGTCCTTTTGCTACAGTTGTTTTGAATAAAATGTCAGAAGTTGACTCATTTATTGATTCTCCATCCGAGTAGAACTTAGAAAAGTGCACAAAAGAACAGTTGGTGAGACTTGCGGAGCACTATAGTATTAATTTAGGGGATGAACGGTTAAAAGAAACTGTCAAAGTGACGTTAAAATCAAAATTAGTGGAAATGGGAGTTTTGGCCATAGCTCAGGAAGAGAGTCCTGCCACTCATTTTCAGCTCAAACACAGGCCCTTATATTTGTACAGCAAAAAGAGTTTTTCCTGTTGCAGATGCAGCACGATCCATTAAAACATGAATTTCAACTTAAACAACAGCTTGAAATTGAGCGCATTCGGCAGGAAACAGAAACGGAAAAAGCCAGGTTAGAGGTGAATCCTCTGTATCTGAGTGAAGGTAAGGGCTCTGATGATAATGGTGAGGGGTAGGAGTCCATTTGACATCATTAGTTTGCGCTTGTTGCCAGAGTTTAATGACAAAGACCCAGATTCATTTTTTGTCTTGTTTGATCAGGTGGCAAAAGCTAGAAGCTGGCCTGATGCAGACTGCGCTCTAATGTTACAGTGCATCCTGACAGGGAAAGCGCAGGAGGTCTACTCTTCATTGAGCTCTAAGGATAGCTGTAGTTATGAGAAAGTTAAAGCAGTTTTCTTGAAGGCCTATGAACTCGTTCCGGAGGCTTACTGGCAGTGGTTTAGGTCATGGGAGAGATGTCCTGGTCAGACGTTTGTAGAATTTGTTAGAGATTTGTCCATGCATTTTAAGCGCTGGTTAACTGCTCTTGACATTACAACTTTTGAAGATTTGTGTGAGTTGCTGATTTTAGAACAGTTTAAAAATGTTCTTCCTTCTCGCATTGCTGTGTTTATTCATGAAAAGAGATAACAAATGCATCGCAGGCTGCTATGTGAGCAGATTAGTTTGAGCTGCTTCAAAAGAAATACTTTCGGGAGCGCACAGCTGCGCAAGAGTTGCGTTCGGGTGCAGCTAGTTCATTTAATCCCGAGGCTAGAACACGAGGCAGTTTTGAGAAAGGTACAGTTTGTAACTATTGTCATCAAACGGGGCGTTGAAAGCTGACTGTCAGGTTTTACAAGCCAAAAATAGGAGTGGAAAATCAAATGTAAAGCCTGCAGCTGCAGCAGCACCCGTTGTGACCTGCAGCATTTCTGAAACTCTCGTTTCCTACTCTGGTGAACCTGATGTTTTGGCTGCTTATGCGCCATTCATTCAGGATGGTTTTGTGTCTCTGGTAGGTAGTGAGTAAAAGGTTCCAGTTAAAATCCTGAGGGATACGGGTGCTTTTGATTGATACATTGTGGACTCTGTGCTGTCATTGTCTGAAAAGACTGATACGGTGGACAGGATCCTCAGTCGTTGGATGGGTATGATGGTGCTGCCCATTACGTTACATAAAGTGGTCCTTAATTGTGAACTTGTGCACGGTGAGGTTGCTGTTGGAGTTTGCCCAGCTTTGCCTATAGAGGGAATTCACTTCATTTTAGGTAGTGGGTTGGCTGGTAGTAGAGTTTGGTCTGAGTCAGCTCCTTCACCTTTGATGCTTGGTCCTGTTGAGATGTTGTCCACACAGGGCTCTCCTGAGTTACCTGAGGTTGTTGCAGCTTGTGTTGTTATGCGTGCCATGCATAAAGCAGAGCCTGAGGCTGTGATGAACACAGGTGAAGATGTCATTGCAGTCCCACCGATTGTCTGATTTTCCTCTTACTGTGTGAGTAGCTGAGTTGATTAAGGAGCAGCAGAGTTATCCTTCATCACAGGAAATGTTTGGCAGAGTTTTACCTGCAGCTGATGTAAAGAATGTGTCCACTGGCTACTGCCTGCATAATGGCGTGTTGTTTAGAAAGTGGATGCACCTCGGCTGTGATTCTGTTGGAGAGGCCGTTTTCCAGTTAGTTGTTCCGGCTAAATTCCTTTCCCTGGTGTTAAAAGTTGCCCATGATGATTGTGGACACTTTGGTGTCAGGAAAACTTATTTACAAGTGTTATTTACATTTTTTCCTGGCCACACATAAAAAAAGATGTCTGCTTTTATAAAAACCTGTCATGTGTGTCAGCTAACAGGGAAGCCAAACCAGTCGGTGAAGCCTGCTCCTCTTCAGCCGCTCCCAGCAGTGAGTGACCCTTTTGAACATCTGATAGTGGATTGTGTCGGCCCTTTACCATGTTCAAAGTCTGGCAGTATCTCCTTATAGTGATGTGCCAAACCATGCGTTATCCTGCTGCGTATCCGTTAAGGTCAATTACAGCCAACTCTGTGGTAAAAGCACTGACTCAGTTTATTTCAGTGTTTGGCATCCCCAAAATTGTAGAGTGATCAAGGGTCACATTTTACATCGCACGTTTGGACAGGTGCTTAAAACATTGAAAATAAAACACAATCAGTCCTCAGCTTATCATGCTCAAAGTCAGGGTGTGCTTGAGAGGTTTCATCAGACCTTGGAATCTCTGCTCCGTGCATACTGCACTGAGTTGGACAGGGATTGGGAAGAGGATGTTCCCTGGTCGATGTTAGCTGCAAGAGAGGCAGTTGAGGAAAGCACAGGGTTTAGTCCCAATGAGCTGGTTTTTGGCCACACTGTGCGTGGTCCCTTGTCAGTTCTTAAAGATGACTGGGTTGAAACAGAACCTCCTAAAAATTTGATTGACTTTAATGTTGATTGACCTTAATGGTTTCCGTCATCGCTTGTCGCTGGTGCTTTAGCGAGGGAAAAATTGCATATGGCCCAAAGTAAAGTGAAAAAACTTTAGGATCACCGCATGGTACACCAGGAGTTCAGTTCAGGAGACCAAGTTTTGGCCCTTATGCCGATTGTAGGATCACCTTTTGAGGCTAAGTTTACAGGCCCTTACACTGTTGTTGAAAAATTGTCTGATCTTAATTATGTAATTTCAACACTGGGTCGTAAAAAAGCCAAAAAACTGTTTCATGTCAATTTATTGAAACCATACTACAAACGTGAAACTGATCCTGAGGTAGGTAGTAGTTCTGAGTCTGTGCGTCCTGTGCTGTCAGGGAGCTCTGTGTTAGAGTGTTCAGAGGGAGATTGGGTTCCTGAGCCTGATGACAGTTTGCTATGTGGTCATCTGAAAAATTCAGAATCACTCTAGAGCGTAGATAAAATCTAAGTCCAAGTGTTGGGAGTTGTCAGAGCTGATATATAAATCCATGTTTATTTGGTGATGTGCCGTCTCGTACCACCTGGATAGAGCACGACATTGATGTCGGTGATGCGCCGCCAATTAAACAGAGATTTTACTGCATGGCACCTGAAAAATTGAAACATCTTAATTCTGAAATCAAATATATGATTGATAATGATATTGCTGAACCTTCTTTTTCAAGTTGGGCATCTCAGTGCATCCTGGTGCCAAAACCAGATAAAATACCATGGTTTTGTTCAGATTTTAGAAAGGTAAATGCATTCACCAAGTCAAATTCATTTCTATTGCCGAGAATGGATGACTGTATCGATCAAGTAGGTTCAGCAAAATTTGTTCAGCAAGTTTGACTTAAAGGATATTGGCAGGTCCCGTTTTCCAGGCGCACACATCAAATTGCTGCGTTTGTCACTCCGTCGGGGCTCTTCTCTTACAAAGTGATGCCGTTTGGGTTGAAGAATGTTCCAGCAACCTTCCAACGGTTAATGAACCGCGTCGTAGCTGGTCCGGAGGGCTGTGCCGTCTACTTAGACAACTTGGTGGTTTACAGTGGCACGTGGCACTTACATCTTCAGCGTGTCCATGCGCTCTTTGAGCGGCTTGTTTTGGCATGTCTCACTGTAAATTTGGCCAAATGTGAATTTGCGATGGCGAAGGTGACATACCTTGGCCGTGTGGTGGGGCAAGGTAATGTTTCTCCAGTTGAGGCAAAAGTTTTTGCAGTCTCCAAGTTTCCTCAGCTGATGACCAAAAAAGAATAACAGCGTTTTTTGGGGTTGGTGGGTTATTATAGGAGTTTCTGTAAAAACCTTTCATCTGTTGTTTTCCCATTGACTGAGCCACTGAAGGCAAAGGCAAAATTTGTCTGGTCTTCAGCATGCCAACAAGCATTTGAAAACATAAAATTCCTGCTCTGCTCTTCTCCTGTTTAGCTGCTCCACGTTTTGATCGACCTTTTGTGCTGCAAATGGATGCAAGTCAGGTGGGAGCAGGAGCTGTTCTACTGCAGAGGGATGACTGTGGGGTGGTGAGACCAGTAAGCTTCTTCTCCAAAAAGTTTAACCGCTATCAGAGTAATTATTCTGTCACTGAGAAGGAAGCACTGGCTCTGATCTGGGCATTACAACATTTTGATGTTTATGTGAGTGGGGCGCCCCTAGTGGTTTACACGGATCACAACCCCCTGACATTTTTGAAGTCCCTTAGATCACCAAATCAGAGACTGGTGAGGTGGTCTTTATTCTTGCAGGCCTATGACTTTATCACATTTTACACATTTTCTTTAGTTAATTTTGTTAGTGCACTTCTCAACACCTCGCACCACATCATTCTCACTCAACCACATACACACTACTGATATTACAGACTAACACACTTCATACCTGTAGTTTTTGTTTGTTTCCTTTATTTCAAATTGTAAATAAATTAATTTACTTTTGTTAATTCCCACTCCTTCCGTCCTTCTGTCATGACCATAGAGCCAGGTTATGACATTACATTAAAAATGTCTCCCAAAAACTGACACTCAGATCCGTTCTACCCCAAGCTGTCTGTAGGCCAAGTACCGCCACTGCTGCAAATAAAAAAAGGATGCAAAAAAAAAAGAAGCGAAAACAGAAGTTATCAATGAAAAACTAACAACAAAAAAAAAGATCCAGAGGCCTGCTGCAAATAAAAAAAGAAACGGTGCAGATTAAAAAAAAAAAAATCCACAACAGAAGTTAATGACACACAAAAAAAAGTTACTTACTGCGATAATAAAAGGAGTCAAATGAAAAAAAGCCACAATGGAAGTGAGCTGCCAGGGACCAATAATAATGATGATGCACTGTGTTTTACGATCCAGCCACACATCCTCTGTGGTTGTTTTGTGTTGTTAACTTCTGTTGTGGCTTTTTTTTTTTATCTGCACCGTTTCTTTTTTTATCTGCTGCAGGCTTCTGTTTTTTTTTTTTTTCTTTTATCGATAACTTCTGTTTTGGCTCCTTTTTTTGGGCATTCTTTATTCTGCAGCAGTGGTGGTTATTGGCCACCGTAAGGAAGACTGAGAAAGTGAGAATAAAGGACTCTGAAACCCCACAATCAGGGACCACTTCTGTGTATCTGCTTGATGCATTGTTTGTGCTCCATTCTTGCAACAATTAAATCACATGTCCAGAACTCTGGTATCTGCTTTTTGTCATTTAAGGAAGATTTTTCTAACACAGTGTCTTGATAACTTGAAGTGTCCCTTGCATACAGCATGCACAGACTTAATCTTGGAGAGCTCAAGAATACCTTCAAAAACTTGTTGTATATTAGCATTGGAGTAAGGAATGAACTCTTGGGTCACATCTTTCTCTCTGTCAAAAAGCAAAAGAACAATTTCCATGGCCCCACATGACAGTTACTTCTTAGCAGAGGGTCAGTCTTCCTTATAAGACTGGAATTCCGGGACTTCCGGCTTGAGTGGATGCTAGCGCGTTTGGCTGCCGCTGCTCACCGGTAAACTTTTAACTTTTTTAGCGCTCTTCCGTGCTCTGGAGACCAGCCCTCAGTAAAAGCTGTTCTCCCTGGGACTCTTATCCTATAAATCCACCAGACTTGAGCTCTTACCGCCTTGTGTGTCTAGACGGGTAGGCTAATCTCTAATCTCTGGTTGTTTTGGTGTGGACTGCCCTGTCGCTCCTCCATCTACCCGTGGAAGGACTCCTCCAGTACTCGGCGGCAGAGTTCCTCAGGCTCCGCTCCCAGAAGCCTGGATCTCCACCGGCAGCTCTACATCTCCACCCGGACATCGCCCTCCTGCCTCGTCCGAGGTACATCCACCATGGGTCTCGGCGGGCTTTCCACTCTGGCAGCTCCAAGGGAATTACCTCTTTCTGGTCCTCCACTCGTCGCCCACACAGAAACACCGGCTGGTCTGTGGACCACAGGCTAGCCGACCTGGCAAGGTCGGCTAGCACTCCCCACAACACCGCGAGCGTCAGCTTTGGTCTGCTTAACATCAGATCCCTCTCCGGTAAAGGACATCGCATTCATGATATCCTCTTCGACCGTAAGTTTGACTTTTTATGCCTAAATGAGACGTGGCAAGTCCCTGATGACTTCTCCCAGTTGAATGACTCCTCTCCGGCAGGGTTTGTTTAGATTTGCAAACCTCGTGAGTCGGGTCGTGGGGGAGGTCTCGCGATACTCTATCGCAAGAAGTGGAAGGTCCTGCCCGTTTCTGTGCCTCCTCTCTCCTCACTGGAATGCCTGGCGTGTCAGCTACCTGGACCTGTCCCCACAATCATCGCCACAATATACTGTCCTCCCAAACCTCACAGTGACTTTTTAAATGAATTCTCTGCCCTGCTTACTCACCTTGCCACTCTCTCACCCAATATAATTCTGCTTGGAGATTTCAATATCCACATGGACAATGCTGCCCTACCCCTTACCATGGACTTCTCTTCACTACTTGACAGCTTTGGTTTTCAACAGTTTGCAGATTTCCCCACACACATCAAAGGCCACACAATAGACTTAATTTGTTGCTCAGGTCTCACCCCCTCCAACTGTACCGCCGACACATTACACATTACGGACCACTCCCTCCTCTCATTTAACATCACTCTCAGCTCTCCATCTCCAAAGCCCCCCGCATCATCTCACACTGCAACATTAAGGATATTAACTTGGACTCCCTTTCCTCCTACATCACTTCCCTCACCCTGAATCCCACTTCCACCCCTGATTATCTTGTCACACAATATAACAATGGACTGTCCAACATACTCAACTCACTTGCTCCTGTCAAATCCCGCTCTGTCTCCTTTACCCGGTCTGCACATTGGTTTACCCCCATCCCCATTCCATGAAATCCAAAAATCGACAGCTAGAAAGACTTTTCAGTAAAACCGGTCTCACCATCAACAAAGACATCTTAATAACTCAGCTATCTCTCTACAAGGATTCCATTTCTCATGCCAAATCACAGTACTACTCTGGACTTATCTGCTCTAATGCTAGAAATACCAAGTCTCTTTTCTCAGTTTACAGCCGTATCATTCAACCCCCAGACTGCTTTCCTCCCCACATGTATTCATCAGACACCTGCGACTTCCTCTTCAGTTTTTTCAATAACAAAATCAGTAAAATCCACCAGAACCTGGGCTCCACATCCTCACCACTTCCCTCATCTGAACTGCTCCCTCCTCTCAAACCTTTTTCCACCTTTTTCCTCCCTAACCCCTCAGAAATCGCCGACCTCATTACCAAATCTAAACCTTCATCCTGCCAGCTGGACCCCCTCCCCACTCCTCTGGTCAAATCCTGTCTGCCCTCTCTACTCCCCCTCATCTCAGCCATCATTCACTCCTCTCTGTCGACTGGAACTGTTCCCACCTCCTTCAAATCTGCAGCCATCAGTCCCACCCTGAAAAAACTTGGTTCAGACCCCAACGACTTCAATAACCTCCGCCCTATTTCCCACCTCCCCTTCATTTCCAAATTTTAGAAAAAACTGTTGCCTCTCAACTCCACACCCATCTCACTCACAATAGCCTCTACGAACAGTTCCAGTCCGGTTTCCGTCCCCTCCATGGCACTGAAACAGCCCTCATCAAAATCACCAACGACCTCCTCATGGCAGCTGACTCCAGTTTAATCTCCATCCTCATTCTACTTGATCTGAGTGCAGCCTTCGACACCATCTCTCATCCCATCCTCCTCCATAGACTCTCCTCCATAGGCATCTCTCATACCCCCCTTCTCTGGTTTCACTCATACCTCACTGGCTGCACTCAGTTCATCCAACTCAAATCCTTCACCTCACAGCCCTCCCCCGTCACTTCAGGTGTGCCCCAGGGTTCTGTCCTGGGGCCCCTCCTCTTCATCATCTATCTCCTTCCCCTTGGCAGCATCTTCCGTAAATTTGGCATACACTTTCATTGCTTCGCGGATGACACCCAGCTCTACCTCTCCAGTAAACCCAACGCCTCTGTTCCACCCTCCTCCCTCACCCACTGCCTCTCAGAAATTAAATCCTGGTTCACGTCAAACTTCCTCAAACTCAACTCCGATAAAACAGAACTCCTCCTGGTCGGTACCAAGTCCACTCTCTCCAAAGCTGACAGTTTCTCCCTCACCATAGACAACTCCACAGTGTCCCCTTCCCCTCAGGTTAAGAGTCTGGGTGTCATCCTCGACAGCTCACTATCTTTCCACTCTCACATCAGTAACATCACCCGCTCTGCATACTCCCATCTACGTAACATCACCTTTAACGTAAGTCCACCTTTCTGTCCCCTCTGCCCGGCTCAGCAAGATGGGGAGCAGGGCTTTCAGTCGCTCTGCTCCCAAACTCTGGAACTCTCCCCCCAGATCCCAGAAACATGGACTCACTACCCTACTTCAAATCAAAACTCAAAACACATATGTTTCAAATTGCATATTTTCTTTAACTGTCCCTCTTCATACCTGTGTGTTGTTTTTATTTATTTTAATTGTGTTTTAACTGTGTTTTTAATGCCATGTACAGTGTCCTTGAGTGTCCAGAAAGGCGCTTTTAAATAAAATGTATTATTAGTATTAGAAGTAGTTGTGCAAGTTGTGCTTCAGAGGTCTCTTACATCTAAACACTAAGGCCCTCATTTATCAATCTTGCGTTGAACTGAGCACAGATCTGAGCACAGGATTCATTGTATGATAGGACGCACATGAGATTTATGAAAGGGTTCGTATCTGACCAGTCCCAGAAATCGGGTCTGATAAATGCGGCGACTGAAATTGATCGTCATTAACATGTCACACCCTTAAATATTTGTGGTTCAGAAGCCTTGCCCACTGAGGTCAAACATGAAAGAGGAGAAATATTAGAAAGATTCAAAACTTTTCAGAGCTTAAAGTGGATATCCTCAATCTGTGGTGAAAACTAACAAGGATTTGCTCTCTGGAAGCATCAAAACTGGTATAAGTCCAGAAAACTCCTGTCTAGAGCAGGATTATGGTGGCGGTGAACAGCGCTGCCACAAAATAGCAGACAGTGGCTGAAGTTTGAATGAATCATTAGTCAATAAGTTGCTCATGATGAGAAATTAATATCTCATACATGCCTCATACATGCCAGTGACTGAGCGCCCTGAGAGTGGCAGCAAGTCACAGCAGCTCTTCACAGTGTTTACGTTTCCGCCTTTTTATTGTTGATTTTGCACCTTGTTTGTCTTTCTTTTTAATTAGCAGTGTTGTGTTTTGCATATTCCAACCATGGATGTGCATTTCATGACTCAAGCGCTTTTTTCTGCTACTTTTTGAAGTTTCTAAGTCCGCGTCTGGCGACCCGTTCATGGGCTCTATTGTTTACAGCCATGAACAGCTGTTGGCGCTGCGCCAAGCCCGGCCACCTTCGTGGGAGAGACCAGACATCCCCGCCAAGCTCCGCAGGAGAAGAAGAGGATGCAGAGCCGGAGTTCAGCATTGGGTGAAGCGGAGACATTATAAGCCAACTGTCCCATCCATCATTATGGGAAACATGAGGTCTCTCCCCAACAAGTTGGAAGAGCTCACTGCAATGACTCGGCTGCAGTGGGAGTACCGGGAGTGCAGCCTCATGATGTTCACAGAGTCATGGCTAAACGAACTTACTCCGGACCCGCTCATAACTTTGGATGGATTTCATCTCGTCAGAGCGGACCGGAGCGTGAGGGAGAGTGGTAAGAAGAAAGGAAGCGGGATAGCGGTATATGTGAATGAGAGATGGTGTAATGCTGGGCATGTCAGTGTTAAAGAGCAGCGCTGCTCTAAGGACATTGAGCTGCTGGTTGTGAGTTTGTGGCCATATTCCCTGCCGAGGGAGTTTTCGCACGTCATCACATTAACTGTTTACATCCCCCCTTGGCTGATGCTGCTGCAGCCTGTGAACTCCTCCATAGTGAAGTGTCCAAGCTACAAACCTCACACCCTCAATCTCTGATCATCATCTCTGGAGCCTTTAATCATGCATCGCTCTCCTCCACTCTCACTACCTTCAGCCAGTATGTGGAATGCCCAACAAGAGACAGTAAAACTTTGGACTTACTGTATGCAAACACCAAGGATGCATACACCTCCTCCCCCCGCTGGGCCGCTCAGATCACAACCTGGTGAGACTGCAGCTCATTTACATTCCTATGGTGAAGAAACAACCCCCCACCATCAGGTATGTTAAGAGGTGGTCTGAGGAGGCCACTGAGGCCCTGCAGGACTGTTTTGAGACCACAGACTGGGATGTACTGTGCGGCTCACATGGTGATGACATCGACACCATGACAGATTGCGTCACGGACTACATAAACTTCTGTGTTAAGAACACCGTACCGACCAGGAAAGTACGGTGTTTCTCCAACAGGAGAAACTGGGTGACCCCTGAACTTAAAGACCTCCTGAAGGAGAAGAGGAGGGTCTTTAAATCCGGGGACAAGGAGGAGCTGAGGAGGGTGCAGAAGGAGCTGAAGAAGAAAATCAGAGAGGGGAAGGCCAGCTATAAGACCAAGATGGAAAACCTTCTGCAAGAGAACAATGCGAGGGAGGTCTGGAGAGGCCTGAAATCCATTTTAGGTCACAGCAGGGGCCACGAGAGGGGACCTGAAGCAGGAGGCAGGGAGTGGGCCAAGGAGCTGAATCTGTTCTTCAATAGATTTGACTCTGCTCCCACTCCTCCCCCGACTCATCAAACCAACGACCCGTCTGCTTCTTCTTCACACCACCTCAGTTCCAGGGCACCGGCATCATCACTCCCCCTCCACTCATCCTCCACCACCCCCTCCAGCACCACCCCCAGCCTCTCCATAACAGCTGACCAGGTGAGAAGTGAGCTGAGGAAGATGAAGCCGAGGAAAGCCACGGGTCCTGACGGCATCAGCTCCAGACTCCTGAAGGACTGTGCAGACCAGCTCTGTGAGGTGCTACTGCGCATCTTCAGCTTGAGCCTGAGTCTGGAGAGGGTCCCAGCACTGTGGAAGACTTTCTGCGTGATTCCTCTCCCCAAGACAGCACACCCCAGGGAGCCCAACCACTTCAGACCTGTGGCCCTCACTTCTCACCTGATGAAGACTCTGGAGAGGATCGTGCTGAGGAACCTCTGCCTCCTGGTGAGCTCTCATCTGGATCCTCTGCAGTTTGTGTACCAGCCGAACATCTGCATACCTGCTGCAGAGGTCCATGGCTCACTTGGAGAACACCGACAGCACTGTGAGGGTCATGTTTTTTTTACTTTGCCAGTGCTTTTAACACCATCCAGCCTTCACTGCTCAGGGGGAAGCTCGAGAGGGTGGGAGTGGACTGTCACCTAGCTGCATGGTGGTCTGCAGCACGGGGGCTCCACAGGGGACAGTGCTCTCCCCCTTCCTCTTCACCCTGTACATCTCGGACTTCAGCTAAAACTCTGGGAGCAGTCACCTCCAGAAGTTCTCTGATGATACAGCCATTGTTGGATGTGTATCGTCAGGGAATGAGCGGGAATACAGGACTGTCATCAGTGACTTTGTCAACTGGTGTGGCACAAACCACCTCCAGCTAAACGCTAGTAAGACAAAGGCGATGGTTGTGGATTTCTGCCGGAGGAGGACACCTCAGACTGTTCCAGTGAACATCCAGGGTCAGGACATCGAGATGGTGGAGTCCTACAGATTCCTGGGTGTCCACCTCAACAGTAAACTGGACTGGTCAACCAACACAGATGTCCTGTACAAGAAGGGCCAAAGTCGTCTCCACCTGCAGAGAAGACTGAGGTCCTTTGGAGTGTGCAGGACTCTGCTCAGGACTTTCTATGACTCTGTGGTAGCATCTGCACTTTTCTATGCAGTGGTCTGCTGGGGGGCAGGGAGCACCGAGAGGGACAGGAAGAGACTGAACAGACTGCTTCTGTCCTGGACTTCTCCTTGGACTCCCTGGAGGAGGTGGGTGAGAGGAGGATGTTAGCAAAGCTTGTATCCATCATGGACAATCCCTCTCACCCACTGCACCAGACTGTGGGGGCTTTAAGCAGCTCCTTCAGCAGCAGACTGAGACTCCCACCTTGCAAGACGGAGCGCTATCACGGGTCATTCCTCCCTTCTACAATAAGACTTTACAATGAACTGTAATGAAACTGGACTCACGCCACCACTTTTTTCTGGCATTTAAATTGTGTATATTGTATATAGTTTTATTTTCTTCTCCCTTTTTCCTTTTTCAAATTTTTTTCTTAGTTATAACATTTATTTAAGTTCTTTATATAACGATCTTTATTTTTATTACTGCATTTTGCACTATCTTTGTCTGTGATACTGCTGTGACAAAAAAATGTCCCCCATGGGGGATCAATAAAGGAATATTCTATTCTATTCTTCTATTCTATTTTTTTATTGCCATGACATAGGGTACGTTGCTCCTATTATTGAAAGTATTAGGTTTTAATTTGTTGCGTCTTTGTAATGTAGAGCAGACTGGAGAGTCTGACAGAGGCTGAACCAAAAAAAATTATTGGCAGCACCAAACGGTGTGTTGCTGCCCCTGAGGAACATTTTTATGGATTTCTATTGGAGTTTTATCACTGATGAAATAGCAAGAGCACTTTCTAAACTTATGCATGTCAGAATTCATCGATAAGGTCCTGCCTCCTCTGTACAGCACCTTTGTGGAGTCTCTCCTCGTTATTGTTCTCTGGGCAGCGGGTCCTTCGGGTCATTCGCCGGCACAGCCAACGGCACAGCCAACGGCACTCCATTCGCCAGTGCAACATTGTGCAAAACTATACTGGCCCAAATGAGTCCCACACCTTTTCAGTAGTGTACAACAATGTCCCCGCTGCTGGGCCAAGACAGAGTTACCTGCCTTTTAGGAGTCAAACACAGCGCTCCACAGTGGCACATGTGCGTGTGTGCGCAATGTAGAAAAGGGGCTCCTGCTCTGTGGCAGTGTTTCTTGGCACAGTTATCAAATAGGCCTTTTCACTAAAGACATAACAAATTTATTTTATTTTAATTATGTCTTAATCTTAAATGAAATCTGGCTGATTGTGCTTAATGACAGGTTTGAGGTTTGTTTATCAATTATTTTGAGACAGACATTTACTGCACCGCAAATCTGCACTTACTCAAACTTGTGTACACGATGTGAGACCTGTCGTGAGATTTGATCTTATCGTACGCTCACGTTCAAATTGATTAATGCCGATCCTTGCATGGAAATGGTTGTAGGGACAGTTTTCTGCTGTACGTTCGTTTGATAAATGAGGGCCTAAATGATGAAGTGTACTAAACAGATTCGGCCTTTTTTGCAAGATTCAGGTAAGAGCCTATCATTGTTGTCATACCATTTTTCTGCACCTTCTGGCAAGTGGCTGA